GGCACCATTGTATATAAAATAGATATAGATATAGATAACATAAAAGTTATTTTTTAACAAAATCTCATAACAGATGGCGCGCAGACAATTTTAATTTTGTGCTAGTGTCTTAATGATTTTCGCCGGGAAAGTTACCCAACTCGTTGCTGGATATTTTTGTAGAATGCATATTTTTCGAGTTATTTCAGTAGATTAATTAAAACAGACCACCCTGTTTATATATTATGCGCATTTCTAAGGTATTTACATGACAATATTGCCACGAAAGACATCACAATATTCTCGAGGCATTACTCAAATACGAATGAGAGTAATGAATTACCCTCATTAGTATTTTGTTCTGTTCGCGGTTTTGCCTTTCGCGTAAACTTGAAATAGGCTACAGGAGATAGAGATGATCGTCTTGTCTCGTCTCGTCTCGTCGTGTGCATAATGATTAAAGTTTAATAAAATTATTGTAATTTGATAATGTTTAGAAATGTGATCATTTAAATTATTTGTCATCTCCTAGTAATTGAGATCGGCAAATTAACGAATAAATGACAAATATTTCTAATGAAATCATTTTTTTCCTTTAATCCTTTAATTTTCAGGTTTACTTCTTATGGATTTGCCCCTCTCATCGTCATTTCGAATGGTTTATCGATGCACTAAGGGACGTCGAGAGAAGAGATGTCACCGGTGTCTTGGAAATTCATATTTTCATTACGCAGTTTTTTCATAAATTTGATCTCAGAACGACTATGCTGGTATGTGATTATTAATTTATTATTTTAATCCTTAAGTTTAAGATATCATAGAAAGAACCAGTTGATAGAATTTATTTAACAGTAAATCGAATTGTATACTTATGTTTTCAAATCGAATTTCAGTATATTTGCGAAAATCATTTTCAAAGAATATCTAACAGAAGTATGTTCACCGGATTAAAAGCGATCAACCATTTCGGAAGACCCGATATGACGTCATTTTTGAATTTCGTACAGCAACGGCACTTATACGTAAGTATATTCGACTTAGTAACCGTAATCAATCAAATGAAAATCACTATTTTTATATTTATCTTTTCCACAGGTGAGTAAGATCGGAGTATTCAGTTGCGGTCCTTCGTCTCTAACGAAAAGTATCAGTAGAGCGTGTGAAACTGTCAATAAAAGACGGAAATTACCGTATTTTATACATCATTACGAAAACTTTTAAGAAACGAAGCTTAATTCGTCGTTTGTTTCCCGAAATCTTAAAAACTGAATTCATTTTCCAACGCAATTAATCCTTCCCTTACGGTTTACTGAACTCAATTTTGTATATACGAGTGTAAATGCGTCGATCAACTTAATAAACATGTATATATATTTTTTACCTGTCGTATGAGTCTTTTTGGGGAATTCTTTCCGTCCAATAACTCTTTTTCCAAGCCCATGGTGGGATCGCTTAAGTACATAATGAGGCGACATATCCGGGACAGACCACTTCCTAAATTTGTAGAATTTTCGACTGCCCAGATTCGATAGTGATTCACCAAAGCAAAAGGCTAACGCCTTAACCAGCCAGCTAGCTAGTATTTGTCCGTTTTATACACTCGGTTACCTTTACCCTTTGATAACTGAAACCTAATCCATTATTCGACAGCCAGATGGCGAGATAGTTAAGGTGTCAGTCTATCGCAGTAGGAGACTGAGGATCGATCGAATCCACGCAAACAATCCCTTCGAATTTTTCACTAGTGATCTGCCCGTGAAACAAAAAAAACTCTATACTAGAATCTTTATCTTTGCATAGAATAATTTTCTAAAGATTACTTAATATTTTGACTTAAAATTTTAGTACAGTAATTACATCCATTAAGTAGTTAATTTAATCTGAAAACGTTTCTCTAATTCAGTGTTTCTCAACGGGGGCGATATCGCCCCCATGTGGGCGTTTCTCCATGTTGAGGGGGCGATTTGTAACAATTTATATTTTGGGGGGCGAAAAACAATTTTTTGGGCGATATAGTAAAACATTATAATAAGAATAATTAGATATTTTATTCGTTATATCGT